GAGGGGAGGGGAGGCTGCGGGGGGTGGGGGGAGAGATGCTGAGGGAAAGGAGCGGTAGGAGTTTCCCGTTCAGACCCGAGACCTTCTTTCTTTTGGTTCTTTTTGACGGGTTTGATGCAAAGGGGATGGTGGGAGCTGCCTGACATCTCCATTAGGTATTTTGCTTTCCGGTCTTCTGCTTTCAAAAGATGTTTTCAGCTCCGAGGACCATCTAGGTCCGTGAGAGGAGACGCGTCCTGCGTCTGGCTGGCCAGCACACCACTCTCCCTCATTGTTTCCTTTCAAATTTTTTTTCTAAAATATTTCAGACAACATCATTTTGTGTCTGTGTGCATCTTCCCCAGTTTCCACGTTATTTTTCCTCTTCGTTCTGCACCTCAGGGATTTCATGGACAGTTTTTGCAGTAGTCGGCTCACTGCTCTGCAGCAACGTAGTTGTGACAAGAGAGAACTGACCTACACATCTCATTTTATCTTGGATCCTGGGTGAGAGGTAACAGTGAGTAAAGTATTTTTGCAGAAACTAAGTCCTGAAAATTTCCTGCAAGTGCATTATTACAATAATCACCAATATAAAATCCAGTATATTGGCAGCCTAAGGCAGCTTCAGTCAGCTCTGAATACTAACAGAAACGCAGTAGAGAGCAGCGGAGATGGGAAGGCACCCTATATCCCCAGAGGGAAACCCTTCCCTCAATTTCCCAGCCACAGCATGTGGTACTTCTGTTCAGTGCTACAGATGGTTTCATTGTGGACAAACCGTAAATCTTAGTTTAGTGGTACAATAGTTTGATTTTTTTTTTAAATGTAAACCTCTTGGACTACACAATTTAAGTAATAAAGAATGTTAGGAGTTATCTGAAATGAATTGATAGTTTAACTGTGATCCATCACATTGCAGGAAATATGGCATATGAAACAACCTTGTACTGGCAGAGGAATGTTTAGACAACATACTCCTCTTTTCAACCTCTGTCTTTATGCTTAGGTTTCCAGTTCATCCACTGCCTCAAATCAGCTTAATAATATTGACAATGTACAGGTGACACTTAAGTAACATTTAGAATTTTATTTTTCTTTAGCTTTGAGTAGTAACTGAAGATTAGATCAGACACAATGAAAACATTTTAAAAAAGAGACCCAAGACTCAAATTCCCAAAGGTTTTTGGTCATCAGACTCCCAAGGAAATGGAATAGAAGCTAGATACTTCTTTGTAATACCATCATAAATTTGGGCCTCAAACCAGTTTTCCAAACAGTCTGAACATATGTAAGTGTTAATTGCCTAAATACTTTAGAAGAGGTGGGTCTAAAGAGCTGAAGTCTCCCTCTCTTGCCCTGAGATAAGGGCCACTGTTCCAAACCCTGGCTTGCAGGCAAGACCCTCCCATGAAGTCTTTGATGAATGTGGTTTAAAAAAACCAACCCTGACATTGACAGGGCTAACAGGATACCAAGTCATGCATTGTTTGACCAATTAACACGATGCTGCAGCATACGCTTTATTCAGTATTGTTGCAGTAAATTAAGACAACATTGAACTTTCGATATGGACGAGTACCGTGGAATAAGCTTACATTGCAATCACAGTTACTCTAACTGTTTTCATGGATTTGAACTCAGTTTTCCTAGCTCCTTTGAGTAAGCTTTCTTTGGACAGGGATTGAGCTGAGTGGTGAGGGTGCACTTGTATCCCAGAACGGAAGATCTGCACCTAAAGTCAGGGCAGAATAGCTCTTCTGGTTTTCCGCTGTCACCTTGGTTTACTTCATAATAATTTCCTTGTGCACACGAGGCTTTAGAGTGATTATGTTTATGGCTAGGTGAGACAAATGATGTCTTCTAAGCTTAACCTGCACCCGTAACTGTGTCTGCAAGGACAGCCACGGGCACGGGGGTGCTGTGCCTTGTTCACATGTTGATCCGGCGAGACATGAACCAGGTCTAGTTCACAGTGACCCCATGTTGTGCCTGAGCTCATTAGCCTTACTGAAAGGCAGGTATATACATCAGGGCACGGTGGTCAGCTAGCAGCCTGATGTGATTCCCAGCATGATTAGGTTCTTCCCAGCATTTCGAGCTGGGTGCTTTTCCCCTCAGCATCACTTGATCTGCTGGGTATAGGGACATTGCAAACTAAGAGGGAAAAATTGTCATAGATGCTAGTGCATCTAAAACTTATTATTTGGAATGATTAATTTTTATCTTCCTTCTTGGCACAGTCCTGAGTGCCTATGCAAAAAGGATTTATCTACATGGAAAATTTTGGGGGTCCACATTTATTCTAATATGGTTGCATTACTATAACCCCCCAAGTCTGTATTCCTATTCTAGTACCCAGGTACTTTTTTGATTTACAGGTAAGTCATAGCAAAGCATGCAGCTAACATGGGAGCTGTTACTGGTTTATTTTTCTTTCAGCAGAATTTGAATGCCCATATAGAAAATTACACCTTTATAGCTATGTGTACAATAGTACAGAAAATAGCTACTCTTGTATAATTATATTGACTTACATTTAGATCAGGGCCTTAGGTACTTTAATTGCATATACTGAAAATGTTAAACCTAGATTATCTCCCACTGAGGTTAGTGGAAAAATTCCCATAACTTTCAGTGGGACTTACA